TATAATTGAAAAATGTCAATCATGTCAAAATTTATATGAATCTAATAAAAACTCAATTTTCAAAAAATTGTAAAAAAAGGGCTGTTTTAATAGATAACACCCCATATATTATTACATATTTGATGTGTTAAAAATGTAATTACACAGGTATCTATATCCAAACTCTTCTTTATCAGTCCAGGACTATATCTTCAAAGTTATATGATTTATATATTCCTATTGAGATGCAAAAAAAAATATATCACTGATCACATTTATATATCTATATATATATAATCTATATGATTTGTTCTATAGAAAAATACTCTAATATTATTCTGATTTGTCTTGATTCATATTGTCTGATATTATCTAATAGCTTTATAAACTGGTTAACTAGATGTTTTATAATATTATTCTGATTTTAGCTATATAGTTCTAATTCTGAAGTATTATATCTAAAAATATATATTGATCATACTGAAATCAATAAATTAATCAAATCAGTCAAAAATCATTTGAGCTTGCACTTCATAGACTTGAACTTGGGTTTGTACTTCATGGGCTTAAGCTTGCACCTCATAAACTTAAACTAGCTTATGGACTTGAACTATCTTACAGGCCTAGATTTGCACTTCATAGTTTTGCATTTCATAAGTTTACATTTTATAGATTTGCACTTTGTAAGCTTGTATTTTATGAGCATGCACTTAGGCTTGGTCTTGTATTTCATGAGTTTTTTCATATTCATTATGCGAAGAATATTTATTTAGAATTTTGTTGAGAGAAGAAGGAAGTGATAATTAAATATCTTTACTTTTTGGTATTTCATTGTGATTGTATAGACAATGGTTATAAATGATAATACAAGGATAATAAAAAAGTGTTAGCATGAAAGCAAGATTACTAGTATAGAAAGGTTAGGCAAAATTTTACTTCTATACAAAGTACAAATATCTGGATATTGATATTCAGAAGGAATTAAGTTTGGATTATTGTTATAATACACTTTACAAACAATTTTTTTTATATCATCTAAGCTAATTTCTTATTTAAAAAAACTTTTTATACAAATATGTCATAACCATAGACTATATTGATGTATATAATCAAATAATATAGATCTGTAATTCTTACTATGAAGTCAAAACTAAAAAAATAATATGGCTGATATCAATTTTTTAAAGTATAATTAATAGTGATCTAAGTTGATATTATAAATACTTATATTTAATCACTATTAAATAAAAATAATAATTTTATCTCTTATATAATCAAATTAATTCGCAATAAATATAAAGCCCAACATGGCTTTTTAAAAAATAAAATTAAAAACATAATGATAATAAATAATTATTATATATTAATAGCTTCTCAACACATAAGTATCAAGATAGTTTTTGTTTTAGATTATTAACTATTCAATCAAATATATAATAGACCTAGTAACAATTACATATTCGATCAATCAATCAAACGTAAGTATGAGGTAATTGTATGATTAGTAATATTAGTAAAATAAATATAATCTTTGTTAATAAGTATTGTTATTGTGAGTGATTGATTAAATATATAGTTATTGAGTAAATATATAGTAATTGTTTCATAGTATATTAGTAAATGAATAATTATTGATCAGAATTACTTTTGTCTTTTCTGTGAATCTAACTTTTATTCTGGTTATATTAACCCACCTACCCTATCCCTGGTCACAACGATTTTTGTAACTTGTTGAAATATTAGTTCTATATTTAGTTTGGTTTGTTGAGATGATATCTAATATATTACAAACTTATAATCAAATGAGAAATATAAATTGTAATTTGTTGAAATAATAGTCATACAGTTAAGCAATGTTGTATATTTTATTGTTCCAAGCTTTTTTGCTATTTCCTAACTAGGGATATTATTCTGTTTGCCCAAACTTAGTTCGATCCTGTTTAGAACTGAATCCAATAGAGCTTGAGTTTTGTCATTACATAATTTTCATTATAATATTATACTCCAAATGAGTTTAAAATAGATCAAATAAGCAATATTTGATTAGTACTAAACTTTAAACTTTTAATTACTATCATTATAACAAACAAAAAATTAATTTTTTTGACTTTTTTTTAATTAAAAGTTAATTTAATATGGCATGATATAACAATTTATTATTTTGATTTTTTTTGTTTTAATATAAATAGTGATTTTTTTTTTTTTTTTTTACATATATATATTTTTTCTTTTACTTAATTTTACTGTTCAATAAATGAAGACAATATATTTGAAGAACTTATTGATTCAACTGAATCTATCTCTTCAAGCTAGATGCCTCAAAATATAATTGAATCTAGAATACTTATAGAAATAACAAACCATTCTCAAAAGCAATTAAAAAAGTACTCTTTCTGGAATAAGCTTACTAAAATCAGTAATAAATGATAATGTAAACTTTGCAATAAACTTTATTCAACCCAATATATAACAGGTTGTCTAAAGAAAATACCTTTACAAGCCTCTGCCTAAAGACCTGATATGAAGTAGGTAATTATTAACTTTAATGATTAATACATGTATATGATTTATGAAAAGATCGTTAAGTCACTTAATGGTCTTTTCATGAATCATGAAAAGATTATTAAGTAATTTAACGAATTTTTTTATTATTTATAAAAAGATTATTAAGTCACTTAATAGTCTTTTCATGAATCATGAAAAGATCATTAAATAACTTAACAATCTTTTTATAGTTTATAAAATGACTATTAAGTGACTTAATAGTCTTTTTATAAATAATAAAAAGATTATTAAGTTACTTAATGATTTTTTTATAATTCATGAAAAGACCATTATGTGACTTAATGATCTTTTCATAAATTATAAAAAAATGAATAATAAAAAGATCGGTAAATTATTAATACCGGTATATTGATATAAACTAAATTCAAAAATCAGTTTCATATAAGTGCTTAGAATAGGGTTCAAACAGGTTTTTAAACCAGTTAGAGCAGAATAATATCTCTATTTCTAATATCTCAATATTTTAAAATATTTTAACTAAGTTCCAAGTTTTTTTTAGTTGCTAAATATATTTTTTAAAAAAAATTAAAGTAGATTATTTTAATAAAATTTTGAGTAATTTTAATTTATAAAATTATTTTAAAATATCTTAAAATATTCCAACTCATGTTCTAATTGTCCTATATACAATACTGCAGTTAAGTATAGTCTGTCAAGATAATAGACAATATAATACTAATTCATATTTAAGTAAGAAATATAAAATTGTGTCAACAGTCTTATAGTCAAATATAGCATATCAGGATAATAGCCAACATTTTAAATAGTTGTAAAATGTAAAAAAAAGAAAGAAAAAATAAGTAGGGATAGACAAGTCCAGTCCAGTCCCTGGTTCTAAAAAGACTAATCTATTAATATTTTTAATTCAATAACAGTCTTTACTTATTTAATCTTATTGGCTAGTAGAGAAAATTAAATCATATGATGTTGGTAATAAATTATATAATATATTTTTTAATTAGTTATTTAAATTATTCTTGAGAACTAGTTCAGACTGGTTTCAGAACCAAGAACCAGTTAATCATAAGACTAGTTAAAAAGACCAACTAATCTATCTCTATGTTTAATGCATAATAATTTTTTTTTTAGTTATTAAGGCCGATGTTACAGAGCTTACTGCCTTTATTTGTGTTTTTAGTTAATGCATTACATA